GCCTCTTCACTGCTTACTTTTCAGCATTACTGTTCATCATCATTAATATAGTTTTTAACAAACAGCATTGCATTTTTCTTTTCTTATTTTCTGATTGTCTTAGATCTCTTTTTTCCCCTAGAAATAGTTTCCCAAATTTCAACAAAGCGAAATGGTGTAACTTAATATTCAATGAATTCCAAAAAGTAAGATCAACAAGATGTTTGCTTTCTGTTCTAGCTTTAAAATTGAGCAAAAAATAGACCTCTAATATTTCTTGAACCTCTCTTTAACAATACTGAACTCTTCTTGCTGTTTAAGAGTAGTTTCTCAAACTTTGGGATCCATACATTTGCTGGTTTTCTTTCCTGTTGAGTTTCACTTGATTGGTTTCAGTACCTCAACATATCAGAGGTTTTGCCTTTTTAACTATTGTGTTTCATGAGTACTACTCCCAGCCTTTCAATGGAAAAAAAACCGTAAAGGAGCAACTTGTTAGCTCAACTGTGGATTCAGTTAAGTGTTGGGCTTGATGGGAATGATGAAACACTGAAACACATATTAGAGTATTAGGAAATAGTGTTTACAAGACACAAATATTTCAGTCAAACAGGGTTTAAGTTTAAAAAAAAAACTTTTAAGGATAAGTATAACAGCAAGTGCAGTGTAGATAAGGCTAAATAAATATTTTATGTATGTTTTATGCCTATTCAATAAGGAAATATTTTAAATGAACTCTGTGGTTACCACATGAGATAAGAGAGTATGATTTTTTTATGATACCTTCTTTAGTTTGATTGTACTAGCAAACATAAAGTGTTTATCTCATGGTTATGACAGGCAGAGGTTTGTTCGTTAAAAGTAAGTTACAGTCAAGACTTTTCTGTGACTTATGTGAGAATGAAATAAGAACTCCTAGTCCCAGTCTAGAAAGAGCAGCAGTGCTGTGAACCCAATGCATTTTCTTTCACTTTACTGTAAATGCTTTATTAACAAAACTTTGTTAAAGTTTTTAAATAAGAATAAAGGACTTTCTATCCCTAAACAGATATCAGTGTTGTAAAACCACAAGAAAAGCCAAATCTTATAACAAGACATCTTAACCACCATGCAAATATATGTAATATAACTATAGATAATTAAATGGCATTTAAATAGAGCTATGCAATGACAAAGAAAGCCTTATTAATCTTCATGGACTCTGTCACTTTATATCCAGGTGAAATCCCATAATATAGTTGGGTGTGTAACTACATGCATTATCTTAGGTAGACATATCACTGTGCCAGCTGGATTTTCATCAGAGAAGTGATCAAAGTCTCTATGCCTGCTGGTCAAAAACAAGTAGCTTAGGTTTTCAAACTTGGGTTGCTAACCAAATATTTAATTTCGGAGGAAAAATCTTTGTTACACTGTCTGAAGTCATCTTTATATTTAACCTGACTTCACAGCAATAGCTTCATGCGTTCATGAGGATCAGGTATACTTTATCATTCAGGATCTCCATTTCTTTGGTAGGTAATGACATTCAGCTGCGCCTCTTAATTAAAACTAAAACTCCTAATAGCAAAGACGATACCTTGTGATAATGCACATCCTGCTTTTACTATTGCAGAAGTACATTTTCCCTCATAGCAGAGGTCTTAACATTTATATAGTCTTTTATGCAGAGAGTATAATACCCAGGAGAGCTCTAGCTCACAGCTCCCAGTCACCATGGCAACTGGCCGCATTCGCAAGCAAACTCAAACACCTCCCGCTGCGGTGAGAACATGATCAGGTCGGCTGTCTGTACCTCCTGCTCCAAATTAGCAGATAATTACCTCATCCGTGTTGTATATTTAAGGCCTTTCCCATCCTCTGTTTGGAACTCTTTCATTTGGGTTTTTGTCCTGAGAGTCTGAATTGCTTCTCAGATGATCCCACCTGTCTATGCTAAACAAGCATTCTACCTGTATCTGCCTGACCTTTTTGGACCTGTGCCTAGATGTTTACAAACAAACTTGAATCTCCCCCCATACTCAGCATGCTGCACAGCTGCTGAAAGCGTATACAGCACATTTCTTTGCTTTGCCTGCCTGTGCTGCACATCCTCTGGCCCACCTCTCTGCTCGCTTTCACCTGGACCTTGCAATTGGATTCTGAAGCCTGTCTTTACAGAGACCTATTTCTACGGTTAACATGGATACTTTCTACATTTGTTTCCCTGCATACCTCCATTGCTTCCAACCAGTTCAGTTCTGATGAAAGCTAAAGTGACTGTTATTCAGTTTCAATTTATCATGACTGCTTAAACCTAGCAAAATTGAGCACAGGCCATTTAGATATATGGGAATGTCCTACACTACTATTTTGCAGACTATTATCCTTATTTTACCCTTAAAGAGTGCTAACAAAGTAAAAAAAAAGATCAAAATTTACCAAATTGGTCAAAATTAGTTGAGTAATTAACCCACAGGCAATGTGCAAAATGAGAGTGATGTACAATGAAAAATGCCATAACCTGTTTGACACGTAATGTTAAATTTTAAATGTGTTATTATTGAACAGATAGTTTGCTGATTTAGTATTGTTCTGTGAGATAACAAAATCTTGAGCTCAAATCATATGGTTTCATGAAAACACCAGGTGTTCAGGGATGAGCAAAAATTGTGTTAAAATTGCCAAGATTATTTTATACACGAATGTATCAAATGTCACTCAAAATAATATTGCAACGCATACGGCCTCCATTGCTCGAGAGCGCTGGCTTACCAGAGCGGTGACGTCACTGCCCTTCCCTGTAAATAGCAGGGACCGAAGCCGCCGGGCTGATGGGAGGTTTCCCTTTGGCTGGGTCCCTGTTGAGCCTGGGTTTGAGTCCCCGACGGGGGGCTGACCTGATGTGGCAGTGGCGAGGGCGCCCACGTGAACCCCATAGTTCAATAATAAGTGAAAGAAACATGACCATGCTTAGCTTGAGTAATGATGGTGGGTATTGTTATAAACAAAGGTGGTCTGTGTATGAGAGAATTTACCTGGAGAACAAAATGTTCTGCTTCAACAATTAGCAGACTAGTCCACAGAAACATTGTAAATGGCTCTGCGAGGGACAGGCCACATCCTGTGGGCAGAAGGTCGCCACAGTCCAGATTTGACACATCTGTACAATCCATCTGCATACCTGGTTGTGGACTGCACTGGCTATAGTACCAGAAATTTTTAAGAAGAAATACCACTAAAGTATATATATAGATCACCAACTGCACGTTGGTGTTCAGGTGTAATATTGGTTCAGGTGTAATATTGCCAGCTGGGAGACTAAATCACTATCTTCTGTGAGCCAAAGAAGCTGAGAGAGTAGTGAAGTGTGTTATTCATAGATGAATAGTGTTTCTTCTGTAACAGGCCTAATCGAAGACAATGTGTGTGGCAACATGGTGAGTGTTATGCTGACATTATTAGTGCCATCTGGCAGGGTTGTAGAAGTGTGAAGATGTGAGGAGGAAACTTCTTTAACATAGAAATGTCATTGTGCAAACTGAGGTACCACCATACAGCTCAATGGTACAATCGAAAAGTCCTTAAACAGTTTTTTCTGTACGTTTAAGGGTATCCAGAAGTCTTCATTTTCCAAGAGGCCAATGCATGACTACACCATACTACGATAAAACACAACATCAAGAAAACAATGCCCAGGTCTTGCCAGGCCCAAAGTAGTCTCTTGACCTGAATCCAACAGAGCATCTGTTGGAGCAGCTTGCCAATGAAATCAACAGGGAGAGCTGTGACTAGGCAATCTTCAACTGCTGACTGCAGCTGGAATATCCCACAACAGTCTGTGTAGATGCTGATGAGGTGTATGTATAAAAAAACACTACCAGGACCATGCTAATCCTCAGGTAGCCCATATCCCATATGGACTTTGTATTTATGGTATGGTACTTGTACTTTGAAAGTGTTCCACTTTTCATACTGAAAATGATGTTTTGATCTGTATCTTTTTAATCACATTACCTAATCACATTTTCTGGGATTTTGTTAAAATCTAATTTAAACTACTTCATTAAATCAAACCCAAAGACATGATTGGTACATGAGAAGTGTTTAGTTGACTTCATTACTTCTTATTTTCTACTTAAGAAGTAAAGCGGCTTTTCATCTCTTATGGTCTATGGGTTTAGAGAAGTCACACTGTAAAAGTTTGATCATTTCGAAATATTTGCGATTTTCAAAACTGAAAGTTGCAGTCACCTAGGACTTGTAGGTAGTCTCTTTTCTTTCTTAGTTTATTATGTACTTGCAGCAAGGTTAAATTAATGCCTTGGTTTTTGCACTTGTAATATTTGAGTGAATAAATGTTGACATCACAGTTTGTTTATTCTTATTAATATGAAAAATTACCTAATATGTGAAAACAAGGGAAATGGCTTTTATATCTACATATATTTTAGAAAATATCTTGAAAAGATCTGTGGCTATGAGGATATAAACAAAAATCAAAACAGGTGTTGTCACAGGTAGAGCTCTGTCTGTTCTATTGCCTTCTATGTGAGTTCTGCAGGAGTGGCACAGCAGTATTATGTGCACAGTGAAATACACGTTTTTGACTTCAGTGGCTTTCCATATGAGTGTACTGCAATCAACACTCTGCCCCGTTTTCAGTAGCCTATGACTCTTGGGGTAAATGAGAACCTGTGGACATATTCCTCATATGCACTCAATTGTCATTGCCTTTTGTGTTTTAGGAATATCCGGGCTCCACAGTGCATTACAGGAGTCTTTGCAATGACTGTAAGCTCATAGACACCCAATGGGTTGATAGTGCACACTGAGGAAACCCAAACTGATCCAAAGATTCTTTCTTTTAAAACAATCGGCTAGTAAAAGTAGAAAATTGTTAAACACAGCTCTGTATCAACTAGTCTTCAAGTCTGAGATCACGAACTATATATGACGAAAACTGATTATCTTTTCCTCTGTAAATTGCCAGCAATTTCAGCCTTTCATTAGACTTTTATAAAGGGAAGATGAAATGTTACCTGGGTCATTATCGCAACAATACGTCCTTTCTCGGACTGGCAGAATTGGGTAGAACAGATCCATTGCCTATAAAAAACACAAACACAATATCAAGACTTTCATGGTTCTGGAACACATTAGCTTTGTCTTATTGTAACTAGCAATGAATACAATGGCAACACTCTAAAATGACTGCTGGCATAATACAGATTTTCTCTAACCTATTGTGTATTTCTGCAGATTCTATATTTATTTGCACTTGTTATTAGGTTTTATGACAAAACTAATGCAACCTTTTAAGCAGGTATAAAGCAGAACAGCATACAGAGTAAGTTTTTCCATACAGAATGAGGGGATAATGTTTGCAGGACAAAATTATTAGCAGTATATGCGTATGGAATATTTGTAGTGGTGTTGTATTATATCACAAAGATATTAACAGACCAAAAAGTTTTAATTCAGTAAACTAATTTATTACTTTGGTAAAAGGAGACTTTGGCTGTGCACTCTTAGAAATTAGTACAAACATCTTGAAATTGAAAGCCGTAGTCTGAAACTTGCTCAACTTCAATAACTGTTGAGTTCAAGTGCAACAATCAGAGAAGCTAAACATAGGTTTATTGCAATTATTATGCTTTTCTTTCTGAGACAGAAAGGGATTTCCTGTGTTAATAACATCTAACATAAATATAATAAAATTGTCTTCAGCAGACACAAATACAAAAATGAACTAATTTCTCATGTCTAAGGTTTGAATGGTTAACCAATGCTGCTGTAATGGAAAACAGGTCTAGACAGTAATCTTGTTTTCAGATAATAAGAGTGGAAGTCTTTATTATATAGTGCCGAATGCCATTGCACTACATTTGAATGAACTGAAGGTTGAGGTCCACGTGACCTAAAATCCTTTTCAGCCTGCAACCTATTTCTGTTGAACATGGGGCTTGTTTTCTTTCAATGCCAAGGATTTCTCAATCAGCTTCTACTGATGATTTTGCTCAGAAACAAGGTGAATCACTTACAAGATGCACATTCCTTTGGACTTAATCAGACAGCCATTGACATACCTACAGTATTTTTTTTTGCATGATGTAAGATCTTTAAGTACCTTATGCTTAGGATTCTTTACCTTCCACAGTTGATGCTGTTTTCATCCCTTTTCAAAAATAAGTCAGGAATTTAATGAGAGCCTTTTCACATTGAACACAACCTCAAAGTACTTTGGAAGAGTGACTGTTACATCAGGGCACAGGTAACCACCAGTAGTTTAAAGACATTAACACAAAACATGCACTTTAAAAAAAAACAGATACTGCCGTTAACAAACTCTGCATACTCGAATGGTGTGGAAAAATAAATGAAATACCTTCATTGTAAGGTTAGATGATTGGCAGTAATCCAGCATCTCAATAAAAAATTCAACACTTACTGTGTGCTATAACTAAAACATTTCTCGGTTTGTATTTTGAGATATGATGATGAGAATAGGAGTTGTCATATTTTCAAATCAAAGTAAGCAACCAATCTTGGACTGGTTCTCCCAGTGACCACTGCTTGTTTTAAAGTCAGTTTGTTAAAGGGGAACTGCAATGCTATTTTTATATTTCAGGGTTAGAAAGAGTCAGCATTGATACGTGCATTTCAAACCACAATGAAAGTAAAAGAGTAACTTGTAAAACCTCCAAATTATATCACAGAATTGACTACATTTCCAGGTATGCACAGTGCCATATTCTGCAATTCAGAACAAGGCAACAAACCACTGACGTGAAGCGGCCTTATTACATTGTAAACAAGCAGGTTTGTGAATGCATCTCTTTTAATAGAAATATTGCTCTCGACTTTTTTTTTTGTTTTTGTTTTCAAAAAATATTTTGAATTTATTTTGTTACTGAGATTAAATCACTGGGCAGAAAAATTGGGACTGCAGTTCCCCTTTAAATAAAATCATGCTACATAACTCCACTAGGGAAGATGCTGAAAAACAGAGCAATCAAGATTTTCCTGCAGCTTCCACTGATTCTAGGGTTCAGTAGTTTGAAATTGGAAGGGTCAATCTGACAGTGAGATTCAACAGCACTGCGAAGCACTTTTTTCTCTCTTGCACACCAAGCAAAATGGAAAGAGGAATGGAATCGAAGTATTCTAGAATAAAATGAGATTTTTTAAAAATAAAAAACAAAAATGTCTCACTTCATATACTACAATATACTATATACTATAAAAATTCTCCCCAAATGGGAAAAAAAGCGAAAAAAGGGAAAAAAGTTCCTAAAAAAGGGAACAGTATATGAAAAATTTGTGACTATATGAATAACAATATATATAGAAATATATAGATTATACTATGGACCTGTGTAAGTATAATGACAATAAAGTTGAGTTGAATTGAATTGAAATATAGAGAAAAATAGTCTTATTATAAACAGACTTTTACATTAGCATCCTTGACATCAAATGTAACCTAGTCAAAGGCATTTTGAAAATACAGCCTTCTCACAGTCTAGAATGTGCTCATTTTAGACATCTTTCACCCAGACTCTTTGTACGTGACAGTTTGTTGCTATTGGTGACCTATTACTTCACTTTCTATGGGAGCCCATTCTTCCCACTGTGGTCCGATCACATGACCCAGTTTGAAGATTCAGTGTGTGCATTTAAATACGAGTCACGTTTACATGACCATGAATGGGTAACAGTTTGGTCAAGTGTAAGTGTGGAATGTTTTGAAACTGAATTAAAATTCCTTCATTTCATTTCTTTCATTGAAATTATAAATAATAAAAATAAAAATTGATTTAAGAAGTCAGTGTGGCTACAGTATTATTCCCTGTAAAGTTATTTATTACTGGATGCACAATACATTTACTGTATACATTTTTTTTCTCCATTGAATTAAACATCAGTAATGTTATTGTTTCCTTAGCTATTTTATTTCTGTCTTTAAAATATTATGTATTCCATAGAGCAAAGAGAAACAAGCAAAGACTCATAAAGTCATATGTAAAAGGCATAAAAATAATCAATAATAGCAACAACAGAAACTCCCCACATCGATTTTGCCACTTTTCATCAGCTGAAGCAAATGACCTGTGGAATTATCTCAGCTTGAACCTTAACCCATCCTCACAACCTCTGTCACCACTACTCGCAATCTGCCTGTGCCAAGCTTCAGCCGAGTCACAGAGAGGAGAGGAGGTACAGTAAAATAAAACCAGCTGCTGGAAACCAGCATATTCCCTCCTGGGGTGATCACATTTCACCCTCAGCACAGCATGGGCTAATTAAGCACTTCATGTGTAACACAACCTTAGCAGCTTGTCAAATATGTGAATTATCTATTTTCAACTGTCTGTGTCATGAGTATTAAAAAAATGCTTGACATGCAAATTAAAGAGGAACCAACCACACACTTAAAAAATAATACTTTTTTTTTATTGGAAAGGGATTAATAGAGAAAAGTAATTTGTAGATTTGTGGAGCTAGTGTGAACCCGCTACCTGTGCCAACAGCCTACATATGAATACGTTTTCTATGCTGCAGAGTGATGATGTTTAAAAAAGCAAAATCTTAGCAAAACTGAACTGTGCTAACAACTCAACAAGAACAATGAGCAATTTTGGGCATCAGATAAGACTCACAGAGAATTTTCACTTAAATGTCACTGCAAGAGACAGATCTGTGCTTCTAGGGGACACTGTCAAGGAGCTCAGTCTGATCATGGTGGACGTTGGGGGCATAATGAACGTGCATCTGCTGTAGCCAAGCCGGTGCCCTATAACTAGAAACACCCTGCTGCCTTACATTAAAGAATAGATAACTCTGTGATGGAAACAGCTTAAATACGAACCGATGTGAGGTTATCTGATAAAAAAACCCTTCTATTAATACATAAAGTTCTTTCTTAAATGATGTCTTGAGGTCACGAAATGTTGCATTTCAATTATACCTGTTATATTTCTGATTGTCGATTGTTTGCCTTCAAATAGGTCTGGTAAGACTTGAAAATAAAAACCTCCTCTAATTGAAAGATTTTGAAAACTGATCTCAGAGGGCAGTTACCCGGCATCATTTCTAAACCATCATTTGCCAAGTCTTGCTTTAAAAGGGCAGGAAGACCATATGAAGTATAATCACAACTCATTGTCCAGAAACTCCAAAATGTATTCAGATGTTTAGGAAGCACAGTACAGAGAAAGGAGAGAGTTTTCCAAGTCTGAGTCTAGTAAAAGAACCTACAAATTGTGTTGCAAGTAAAAATGTTTCTGCACATCATGTTTCTGCACATGTTGCATGTGAAAGGTACCAAAAGGAACACCCTGTAGTGTAGCTGTAGTTGCTGTAAAGTCATGCAAAAGGTTTCCTTCTTTAAAAAAGGCCAGAATTTAATACATGACCAAGGGGGGTCTGTTACCTCTAAGAGCTACACTGGCCACCAACACAGCAAAATCAGACACCTGCCAAGATAACTGGCAGCCTCCCCTACATGTAGAGACCTGAAAACCATTAAAAGGACATCAAGTGCTGACAGTAGTAATGCCTTATACAGTGAAAATGTTTGCTTTTATTTTTTATTTCTGGCATCTATAAAATGGTGGAGGGAAAGTCGAATGAGATCTACAATCACTTAAGATTCCCACAGACAGAAATTCTTCTTGAATAGTAAAGACTTTGTCTGAATGCTGCACTACAAAGACTTATGTCTTATGTTGTTCACAGTAAAGTCTTTTGCAAATGTGATAAAGCCAAAGTATAGTTTATCAGAGATTGTTGTGTGCGGATCTGAAGGATTTTAATAGGCCAAGTCCCTTCTGCACTATAGTGCCTATGACTGTTAATTGTATTTTTTTTTCACCACACAGAAAACAGTGAAAAAACTCCTTAATGACTGCCTTGAGGATTATAATGCTCCATTTTATTCCGTCTGTTTAATAAATAAGCCTTTCTGCTCGTCCTTTCATAGCCCTTTTTTGATTTCCAGTAACCCTGCTCCTGAAAAGTTCCTGTATCTCTATTAGTACAATTAGCTTCTGATACTGTAACTGTTGACACATTTTTGTCCAAGTTGTCCTCATTATGAAGAAACT